AGCTCAAGGAGGAGCCAAACCAAGTGCAAGGCAACCCCAAGCAAGGCTGGGAGAAGGAAGAGGCGCTTGGCACAGCCCCTGAGCCAAAGTCCAACCAGCACCAGAGGGACCGTGGCCATTGGGACACCCCCAAAGCCTCAGCTCCCACCCCCGTGTGCCCCGAATCCTCCCAAAGCTCAACATGGTGGTGATGAAGAGAAAACCAAACCCAAGAAACAAACAAACCCAGGGCAAAGCCGCTGCTTTTGGCCCAAAGCTGGGGCTGCCTCGGTGCTTCCCTGGCCCAGCCCATCACCCAAACCTCAGGAGCTCCACCAAAGCGACGGCCTCAAATCAAAGCACTGGAGCAAAGAGCAAATGAAGCTTCGCAGCCCAGCTCGGACCTCCAAGAGGAGGAGCCAGAGCCTGGGGCCTGCTCTTCTGCTTGTGTTGGTTCCTTGGCTTAGCCTAGAAAAGCACCACGAGGCTCAGGAGAAGCTGCAAAAGCAAAACCCTGGTTCTGGGTCCCCTTCAGCCCCCAGGGGCTGGAGCTTGCAGGTTCCTGCTGTGCTACAAGGCTGCATGCTGCAAAGGAACTGGAAGTGGGGCTAGACACGAATCCTCTGGGATTTGTGCTGGTTTGGGCTTTTACCTGAACACCAGGAACATCCTATCCCATGCTGGGAAGTCTGCAATGACTGGAGGAGGTCACTTGCTGTCTTAGGCCCCTTTTGGAGCAGCTTCTGGCTGGCCCATGTGAGGAGACATCGAAGACGAGTGGTTTGGTACTTGCATAGCTGCTGAGTCCATGTGGAGGGAGGAGACTTCTGCTTCTGGAGCAGAGCTGCAAAGAGGCCACTCGGGCAGCCCAGGAGCAACCCATTCCTTCGTTTCCAAGTGTGGTGGTGGAACAGGGTGTCAGACGCAGGTCGCTCAAGATGCCATCAGGATGGAGGTCTCAAAGGTCCCTCACATGGGGGATAAGCTCTTCCAGCATCCATCCCAGTAGCATCATCCCTTCTTTTGGGGATGCTGAAAGCACCAAAGGGTTTGTGTCCTCCTGGGCAGTGCCACTGCCTCTGCCTGCCCTGGAGGGATGCGAGGAGGGGGGACACCCAGCACTCAAGTTCTACCACCCTCTGTAGCAGCGCACAGCAGCAGTGGTGTGTCAGAACAACCAGCAGAAGAGAGAATGGCTTCGAGATCCTCCTTCCTCCTCCACAAACACCTCATTGCAAGGAAAAGAACAATGGAAAACAGACAAAAAGAGGTGGCATCGGCTCCTTCTGAGATGTTTGCTCCACCCCAGGGGCACTCAAGCCTTACTGGGGTTCAAATCCCACACGGCTCTTCTCTCTTCCACAATTCCCCTCCTTTCTCCTAACGCTGGAAGCAAAGAGGGGGGAAGGAGGAGCAGAGTCTTCTTCACCTCTCCCAAGCAGCTTGGCCAAGCTCTTGGTGCTCATGCAGCTTGTGAGGAGAGCCAGGACGTGCTCCCTCCTTGCAGGAACCATCCCTTTGCACTGAGCCCGCACTGGGGGGACTGGGAAAGGAAATAAATATGCTTGTTCCAACACAACAATATTATATTAAGAGCTTTCCCCTCCCCCCACCCACCCCCCCCTTTTAAATAGCATCATCCCTTCCTTGTCTCTCTGACATGGGAAGAGGAGCCAGAACCCCAAAGGAACTCCCAACTTTGCTGTTGCTTTAAGCTCATTTCTACATAGAAAAACCTAAGAATTAAAAGGAAAAAGCCCTTGAAAACGAACTGATTTGCAGGAGGGGGAAGGAAAGAAAAGACTTTCTGCTTTCCTGTCACCAAATTGCCAACCAAGAGCTCAACAACTCTTTGGATCTTCTTTCCCAAGCCAGGAGGGCTCCGTTCCTGCCACGCTGGTTTGGGTCTGGGAGGGCAAGTCCCGGCTTGAGGAGCTGAGCAAGCACTGGAGGGGTGGGGGGCCCAAGGACTGCCCAGCTCTCGCCCAGCTCTGCCCATTGGGAGAAGGGCAGAGCTCTCCTTGGCTCTCTTCTCAGAGCCCTTGGAGCTGTGCAGGCGTCTGCTCAGGATCCAGCTGGAGGTGGCTCTATGGTGCCAAATTGGATTTGGGGTTCCTTTTGGCTTGGTTTGGGTGGAGATTTGGTTGGTGGTGGTGCTGCTGCTGCTGCTTCTTCGTGTCCAAGTGTCGCCTGGAGTTTGGTTGCCTTTGTTCAGACGCTGCACGTTCCGAGAGGGGGAGAGAAAGGTTCACACCAGCCAGTGCCCTGCGGAGCATCAGCCCATCTCCTTCCACTGCTTGTAGAAGTCCAGGACGTTCTTTATCTCCACGCTGGCGCTGGCGGCTGCCTGGATGGCAGACTGCAAAGAGACACAGCTCAGGGGCAGGGCTCAACCTGCCAGAGGGGACACTGAGACCAGCCCCTGGGAGGAAGAACCCTCACACAGGGTGTCCCGAGGAGCTGGGGCTGCCCCAGCCCTGGCAGGGTTCAAGGCCAGGTTGGACACAGTGGCCTGGGATGGAGCTG